TTAAAACACTTGCACTCTAGACAGGGTGATTAAAAATACTACAAGTTAACACCAACATGTCATGGTAGGTTTTGGTTCAGCTTCTAATTGTACTGTACTATGATTTGGTGGCTGATTAAGCATTAATGGTTTATGGCTCTTGAGCTTATGAGCCAGGGTCATAAATATGGCTTCTACATGATCATTGTCATCAGGATTTTTAGCAGATGTTTCAAAAAGTGGCATACTGTGAGTATCAGCAAATTTCTGTGCCATGTCCGTAGGTACCTGAATTGCACTTCTCAAATCACATTTATTTCCAACCAATATCCGCGGTATGTCATTGGTGAACAAATGTTGCTTGCACTCCTCGATCCACAATGGCAAACTATGAAAACTTGCAATGTTTGTCATATCATACACAAACACGACAGCATGTACGTTCCTATAATAGTGTTGAACCATGCTCTTCCTGAATCGCTCTTGCCCTGCTGTATCCCAGAGCTGGATCTAGAATGGTTCAAAGGGTCAGGGGTGGAGAAAAGAGAGAAAACACAAATAATTTCACTCATTGTGACATCAAGATACTGGCTCAGCTCTTTAGAATAAGATCTTTTCTATGGCCAAGAGTTTTGGTTACATGGGCATCTTTCAAAAAGCCTCTTAAGGGTGAACAGATGGCTTGCGTCCACCATTTTAATGTCTGAGGAAAAAAGATGTAAAATTAACATGAGATGTTAACAAAGGCTGCTGCACACTTTTGTAATGAACCTGTACCTCTTACTTCATCATACTGTTACCTCACCCTTCCTTTAAGGAACTTCAAAAAGTATTCATTTTTTCTCCCTTCCCCATTTTATCTTCAAATGGAAGGAGTGAAAAGTTCCGAAGTCACTTCATGGCTGAGCCAGGATTTGAACATGAATTCTCCATTTGTTACATAACTCAACCACATGGCATGCTTCCTCTAATACTTAGGTCTATAGCCCACAAAGCTAGTATATAAGAACTAATTGTATCAACAATATTACAGTTGATACACTTCTGGCTTGGTGGGAAGTCACTGAAGTCTTTAAAACCGCTCCCAAGCCTGAGATTGGGTTCTACAATTCAATAGGTACAGTTTAACTCTAGATTTTAAAAGATTAGGTAAAGCAACAAATCAGAGCAGCATTAAATGTACTTGATGTCGTTAGTGATACCTGGCGAGTAGAAGAAGATGAAGAAGAGAAGAGATTGGATTTATCCCCCGCCCTTCACTACCCAAAGGTGTCTCAGAGTGGTTTATAAACTCCTTTCCCTTCCCCTCCCCACAACAGACACCCTGTGAGGTAGGTGGGGCTGAGAGAGCTCTGACAGAAACTGCTCTTTTTCAAGGACAGCTCTTAAACAGAACTATGGCTTGCCCAAGGTCATCCAGCAGCTGCACGTGGAGGAGTGGGGGATCAAACCCGGTTCTCCCAGATTAAAACGCCTCATGGGACGCAACCGTGACAAGCTGCCCTCACGCCCCCATGGCGAGAGCTTGTTTTCGCCAGTGGCGGCCCCGCCTATGCGAGACAACCCGGCTTCTTCTGCCGAGTGCTTTTACGTTCAGCCTAACCGTACCTTAATTCGCTCCCCGTCGATGGCGACGGCGCGCTCGCGGAAATCCACCCCGATCGTGGCCTCGGTGCGCGTCGGGAAGCGGCCAGCGCAGAAGCGGAAAGTGAGGCATGTTTTGCCCACGTTCGAGTCGCCGATGACGATGATTTTGAAAATGCGGGAGCGCGGAGGGGGCAGCGTCCCGGGCTCTGTGCCGCTGGTCGACAAGCTCAGCTCCAGCGACGACTCCACCTCGGTCGCCATTGCCGGGCCCGGAGCTCCAGCACAGACAGCCGCACTACCCCCTTCCCCCCCCCCAATGCCCAGCCCCCCTCGGGCAGGTTGTACGCATGCGCACTCGCCGGCCAGCGGTCATGTGAGCCCCAGGCTTCGATAGGCGGAGGCCGCTGAGGAACCGCTTCCCTTGCCGCTTGAAGCTGTGGCGGGCGGGACTCAGGCAGGCACGTCGGAGGTTGCTCCTCCCCTTTCTTGGTAGGGACTAAGCTGATAAGCGGAGAGCGAAGTCAGGCCCCCCTGGCGGAAGCAGGGCGAGACGCGCGGACTCTGTCGGCAGCCGTAACGCGACCTCCCTCTGGGTGAGAGAAGGGGGAGGCCTCTGAGCACGAATCAGCCCGCCGTTAAGGATGGCCACTGAGGGCACGGTTTTAAAAAGACCGCATTCACTTTTCTCTGCTTGCGGTGACCTGCCGTATTCCTTGTTTGCCCTATTCTGGGCCTGGCTAGGCTACGGGCAGACATTTGTGTGTGTGCGTTCCAGCCGGTACCCGTGTTAGTCTGTTGTAGCGAAACAAAAGTTCAGCGGCATGGTAAAGAGTGATAACCCAGGAAAGCTTTCCGGAAGCCTGTGCACGGAAGACAATACGAATATAAACATAACAGGCCCCTCTAGAGCAGCAGCCATTCTGGGCTGAGCGGCTCCCCCTCCCCCTGGGTCAACTGATTTATTCTCTACCCCTTTCTCGTGGTCTTGGGACTTTCAACAACCAGAAGACCAACGGAACAAGAAGTTCTCCCCAAACTCAAAGCTAGAAGTGCAAATCAGTTTCATCGTAAATTGAACATACCTTGCCTAAATGGGTGGTTGTTTATACACAACCCCCCTCCCAAGCTAGTTCACTTATAGGGATGCTTAGAGCTTTTATAGTCCTGCAAGCATCAAAAGCAGGCCAGTATAAAGTGAGCTTGGAAAATACTTAACTTTCATTTACATGTACCATGTGAATTTAATTACTTTGTGTATGCAGGCTTATGGCAAGAACAGTGCTATGATGGTTTATGGGAGCACTAGTTCCTTGCTCAGCTTCCCTTGCCTTCTACAATTGTACTCAAATATTATCATGCAAATGCTAAATAGACAAAGCTGAGATGTGTAATTCGGAACTTCTCCGAATTCCCTATCTGCAATTACAAAAACAACAACAGCAGCCAAGATTGAAAAGTCATACAGAACAGAGCCCTCAAGCTATCGACTATCTCTGAACAGGAGGAAAAGGAATATGAGAGACCTATATTAGCCACCCATACCTACACTTCAGCAGCGCTCACAAATAATATAGCTTTTTATCGACAATGACAAGGCTGTAGCAGCATGGTTTCTATATATACATCTTGTCATCTGCACTAGTAGTTTATGGATGATGGCTGTAACCAACTCCAAGTTTTACAGATGGACAGCCTGAGATCCTTGCAGACTAGGCATGATTTCCCTTTTAAATTAGTGGTTTACACAGTATTTTTTCACTTGAGAACTTACTTAAATACTGGCCCATGAACAGAGTGATTAACATAAGATTATGACAAAACTAATGTTGTTCATTAGTATCCATTTGCACAAACAGTATATTTATAGATAATGAATGAGGAATCCATACTTTTCTTATCACAGAAAGAGTAATGATCTCCCTTAAAGGAATGCACAACAATGAAAACCACCAAAATGTCAACGGTCAAATTTTGACAACTGGCAACAATTCAGATATTTTCCTGCTAAATATTAGGCTTCCAGTCTGAAGTTTTCTAGTCTATGTAAGTTCTCATTTAATTCACTCTCCTCCAAAACCACACCCTTTGCCAACGTGTAAGCTACTATTCACAGCAGCAGCCACTGGTTAAGATTTATTGGGGAAGAAGGGTGGAAGAGAGTAGTGTCTCCAAGCACTGTTGCATTATGCATTGTGGGATTTCACCAACACTAATATACTCCTACACATTACATTGGTCTTGCCCTACTACTATTTATCTAACAGCAGCTTTCAAATTCTCCAGGCACACAACTCTCTTTCAAAACATTTTATTGCATTATATTTGGTACCTTATGTTTGACAAAGGAAATTACATCTGTAACTGCAGGAATAAGAAGCTGGTCTGTTATTGAAAAAAAATCTTGGGCCCGTTAAAAGTTACAAAGTCATGGGCTTGCCTGAAACAACTGAGCAAGAAATATATTCTTAGAAATGTAGGGCTTCAAGTATTACAAACCTGTGACACTGTGGAAAAGTTCCAGAGGTATCTAAACTGCAGCACTTTTTTCTGCATAACGTGAACAAGGCCTGCTGAGGTTTTAAACAATTAGTCTCTTGATCGGTCAGAAGTTGGTAGTCAGGAGTTCTGCTCTTTGAAATTTCAAGCCATAGTTATGTTCATTTATATTTCCACTGTACGTGAAATATACATGCTGTCTTTCTAATGAGTTGGTGCCACATCACAGTGCATAATTTCATTTGGTTCTTGCACGACAGTTTTAACAAGTTTAGCCAATCAATGCCGTCAATACTTGTCTCCAAAGTAAGCAGCTGAGTTCTTTTCAAATTGTTAATTAAAACAAAGAATGTTCTAACCAGTTCCTTCATTTAAAAACTGTGGTGCAAGAACACCAAACTGATCACGTGCAGTGAATTTCGGAGACACAACAAGCTTATTGAACACCTTATGTTTCGTTATTTTGCTTCATATCTTATGTCCCAGTCTCTACAACAATATTGTATGCGTGTTGCAGGTTTGTCTGCAAACAGTGATTCACATCGCATACTTCCAAAGGGTAGAATCATCTTGATATCAAATCAGTCAGATGCTAAAGCCCCAACAACTCTTTGTGCTCAGTGAAAGGATCCAGTGCTAAAACAGCAGTTCTGCTGTCCGAGATAGTCATCTCAACAAGACAAATTTAAAGTAATATTTATGCCACACACCTGCTCCCATGGGTGTTAAGCCTTCAGATTCCATATAAATTAGTTTAAAAACGGGGCATGTAGATAAAGGATACTTTTCAATTTTAGCAGTGCTTAGTTTTTCTTTAACTGAGCCACCTATATCCAGTAATACGTTACTTTATATTATATACTTCGTCAGCAGGATAAAAAAGTAAAACTTTGAAGGCAACCATTTTTACTTCTCCATTCTCTGTGTACGGTAGAACAATTCAGCAGGTGCGTGACAAAAATATTATATACCAGATACGGTCCAAAAATTATTCCACTCTTTTTAAAAGTTCATATTTCATTGGCCAGTTCTTCGGTCTCTGCAGATATATCTCCATTAACTGTGATCTTCATATCCTCTTCATATCCAGGGGGCATAAAAGCCAACGCGTAAGGGAAAAGCTTATGACAATTTGCTCTGTATGCTTCAGCTGCTTCTTTACAGTCTCCAAGGCTACCATCATTCAATGCTTCCAATACCTCCATACAAGTCTAAAAAGCGAGGAAAAGAGTGTCAAACCTTTTAGGGGCTTGTCTATATCAATAATGCACATTAACACTGATGGAAAATGTTGCCATGACCTGGATAGCTCAGGCAAGCCTGAACTTGTCAGATCTTGGAAGCTAAACAGGCCTGATCGTGGCAAAAATTGGAAGAGAGACTTTCCAAGGAATACCAGAGCTCAGGAGGCAGAGGCAGGCTATCAAGCCACCTCTCTGAAAAATGTCTAAGGCCTAGTAGGGGTCACCAGAAGTCACCATGACTTCCAGGCATGCAAGCACACATGCACACAAAAATAAAACAAAAAACACTAATGGAAAACTTTATAGCTAGCATGATTTTTTTTAAGGTTTCATTACTGTAAACATCTGTTATAACATTATTTGAGTAACATTATTAACTGTAGTGTGCATACACGTTTGTAATATGGGATCTCTAGAAAATAGAATACTCCCATAGCAGTTTTTAGAAAAGAGATAAGAGCAAAGAGAATAAAGAATTTTGCATATCAATAAAATTTACCTGAAGCTTTCTGTTCATAAGAGATTCATCAAGGCAGGTTGCCAATTCCACAGCTCTTTTCTGGCTAGCAGGATCCAAATAATACACCATTTTGGCAGCTACGAGAAAGGGGGGGGCACACACACACACAGCTCCATTCAGTTTATCATATAACTGGAACAATGTCAATCCCCCCCCCAAAAAAGTATTTCCGTCTTAAATCCCTGGAGTTGCAGGACCTCTGTGGAAGAAGCCACACAAGTCATGGTGGTTGCAGCAAAGAGGGAAAAATGCAAGCAGAGGTCAATGAATGGAAGATGTGGCAATTTTGCATGATTCCTCTCCTTCCTTTGGTTCCATGACTCATGTGGCCTCTCTCTACTGTATCATCTTTCCGCTCATCAAAAAGGTCTAGTTAGGGAAAGAGGAAAACAGAGAACATCTGTACATATTGTGCAAGAGGCTGGTTGGACTTGATCCAATACAATTTGTTTTAATAGAACTAAAAGGATAGGTGCAATTCTAAGGCTGAAATTCCACACTGTTTCAGACACAAGTTTGGTAGTTGCTTGCTACAGATGCTGTTCTCAGTAATCAGTGTGTTTACACAGCTATCAAGGTATTCCAATAGCTTTATCTACCTCATTGTCTTCAGGATACTTTTGTTGACCAAATGAGGTAAAGCCAATGCTTCCACGAACTGTGCTCATCTGGAGGAAGGATTAGGATTTTTACTACCTTCACCCAGCAGGACCATGATATCTGGTGCCAAAGATTAGTGAATCTTCCAAAATATTGTGTCATGTAGCACACAGGATATCAACTACCCTCTCCTCTACTCTTGCAATGGGGGAGGGGGATTTTACCAATTGTATTTTCTTGATAAGCGCCCCCCCCCCCCCCGGTCACTCTGTTCTGGGAAGGCCCAAACCCTCAGCTGCAGCTCTCTGGTGAGAGGGAATTCTATTAATACACTCCATTTGCAGAAGCACTACACCGACTCCTATGACAGCTGTGAAACTGACCTCTGCATGCCTCTTTTAGGTCCTTGGTACAGGTACTCTATTATCCCCACCCCCCATTATTACAA